AAAGAGTGTGCACAAATCCAATCACACAAAAGGTTTTTTTCATATTTTTCTATGCATACTTCAACTGACTGCATCTTTTCCCTGAGACAAAGAAATATTAAGAGCCTGTGGAAGGAAAGCAGAAAATGTACTTTGATGCAACACATGAAATCCTGAGCCATGCACATTCCTAGTCTCAGTTAAAAGCTGTGACATTATGCCTTGGCATTCCTATTCATACTAAAGTCTCATGTGAGAAACAATGCCATAGAACAGTACAGGGATACAAGCTAAACAATCTGGCCACGACCACACTTCGTTACAAGAATTGAGATAAAACACTAATCTGCAGGTTATTAAAAAAAACTTCAGAGGTTGTTGTTAACATATAAAGGGACACAGAAAGAAAACTTAAGAAGAGACATTTACTATTCTAATACAACATCTACTTTCACTAATCAAAAATCTGCTAACTCACCAAAATGACTCCTAATGTTTTTAAAATACAATTAAAACGAAAAAAATTCATACCTGGTAGGACCTTGCTGGCACACAGTTCTTCTCTGTGATCACAATTACCTTTTCTCCAGTGAGTCAAAGCTTCCTGAAAAGACTTTGCAGATTCCTCCTCATTAAATACACCATTTAGTAATAATCCTTTGTCCTGATTTTCAAGGCCTGTACAGGTTGATTCTGGGGAGACTTCCTAAATCAGTTCCACAACATAATTAATACAGTACTTCTGATGATAATCCTCTCCCCCGTTACATACAACAGCAATATTTTTAGTATCAGCTATGGAAATGCAGAACCCTGTTTTCTGGGCTTAGTCTAGCTACCCTGGCAATCAAGATCACTCCATTTTTATGCTGTCTTGCTCACAACTAAATTGCAATGTTCTATCAAGAGCAAAATATGAAAAACAAAAAAGTCTGCATAAGCACACAAAAAGCCCTATTTAACTTCAATGCATTTAGTAGGCAGAAAGCAGCAACCGTGGATAGCCCACATCCTATGTACAGTATGGACATTATGTCCACAGACACAAACAGGGGTCGATGGGCGGCACATGTCCGATAGCCTGATCCCTCACTTGGCACACTGTGGAAAAACATAAGGCCACTCTACCTAAGATGTCCTAAACAAAAAGAATTTTTTTTTTGTTTGTTTCCAAACTGTGCACTACCTCAGCACTGCCTACTGACACTGGGAGAGATGAAAACCTGTCTGATGTGACCTGATGCTTGCTATTTACTTTCTTCTGCTCATGATTCATTTTGGATTCATTTAGATTTACTTCCCTGATGAAGTGATCAATGACTTCCAATTTTCCAACATGTATATTGGCTTCTGTCTGTTAATGTAACATCATGCGAGCATTAATTTATTATCAACGTACTCAAACATTCCTCCAAAGAGCATATTAAAAGCAGGTAGGTAACCACATATTGATGAGTGATGGTGACATAAGCACATAATAATTTCAATGATCAATAGTGTGCAAATGTGCGAGCACAAATTCAATAATCTGAATATTCCATTAGGTACTACACAGGACAGACTAAGTGAGGCATTTTATGCAGTACATATCATTTAAACAAGTTTATGAGCTATGTACTTTATTAATGAAGTTCTGCTTACTGAAGCTTTTCAGCAGACAGAAGCACATGTGTAAAGGTCAACAAGAGGAAAATATTCATTTAAGGGACTAACTGGAATACCAGTTCACACATAAAAATAGTCCACAGAAGTCCGTACTATAAAGAACTAAATGAGTTTGATTGAAAATAGCTACAGAAGGAGAATAACAGATTTACTCACACTGGGACTTTACTGATTTGCAACCTTCATTAGAACAAAGAAAATTACTGTGGAAATGTAATATGAAGGTTTTGATTACCGACTCTTGAATGATTATCAAGCAAAAAAACAAAATGTATTTTATGTTCATCCTTTCCCTATGCCCCCTCCCTACACACATAGAAAGACCAGAAGGAAAGATCCTTTGTCTATAAAATCCTCAAGTAAGGCACATATTCTTACCACGAAAGATAAGAGCAGTAAAGGTACAGGGAGACAGTGTAATCAGAAAGAGTCAAAGATATCGAGCAGCCATTGCAAAACTAGAACGTACTCGCATCTCCTCCTTTCCACCTACTCTACACTATAACTGACCAGCGACTTTGCAGCTGCTGGTTGCACATTTAACGGCACTTGTGACGTGCCAGTGAGTATGCAGAGAGACTAACCACTTCAAACAGCGGTTACTTTTTTCCTTTTGCAGCCTTCCTCTGATTCGTATGCTGCAATGCAGGATGGATAAGATTCAAAGTTAACTCCACGAACACGTGTGCTTTGTCTTTTTCTTCAGTCCTAATAGTCCATAATCATCCATAATTGACAGCAATTCTTTTCTCCCCAACATGACCAACATGTTGCTAACACACAGGGAGATCACAGAAGCATATACTTAAAAGGGGAATTTCTCTCTGTAATTGCCCTTCTCCTTGGCTCATTCTGTTTCCTATGGCGCATGCATTTAAAAGTACATAGCTAAAGACTGTGTTGATTTCTTTTTCACCACATGAAGAAAATAATCTTAACATTACAGTAGAAGTCACATTTCTTTGAAGGAGATAATTTTATTGATGTAGCTGGATACATCTGCTCTCTTTGAGCAAGCATAGTTGCATTATGCATGGTTCTTTTTGGTACTCTGGCACACGATATAGAATAGCAGATCAATATTTGAAAGGCTCGCCCTGCTGTGTTATTTGCAGAAACAATACGAACATCTTCATTGATATTTTGCTCAATTGCTTCAAAATACTTAGGCAAGAATTGCAAAACTGATTTTAGAGAATACTTGCAAAGTTTATTTGTTCTGGCCTCATGTTAAACTTCCCAGCAGTCTAACTCGGACACTAATTTCCTCCTACTTCAATGCCTAACCAGCCTAAGTTGGTTAGACATGAAAAATGTCTACTCCCAAAGCAGCAGTCAGAAAGGAGCAGGAAAGAATCCAAGGCAGAAGCAACATGACCCATCAAGAAAGTTGGAAGGCACTTCCTTGGATTCTCACAACTAGAGTGATTGCCTTGAAACTTTCCATCGCATAATTTCTCTAAAAACAGCCTTTTCTCCTGACTCAGACAGCTAAAACTCTAGATCAAGTTACATGATCTCACTTGGACTGTAATATCCTTTCCCCCTTTGAAAAAAAAAAAATTGAATTACAGCTACTGTTTTCTATTTCAAATGCAAAAGACTCCTTTTGCATCTCTCCATTTCCTTTTGTTAGCTCCCTTTATTAATAGCAGCAGTTTCTAATTAGCTTCAGAGTAGGATTGGAGAAAAGGAGGAAGAAGACAAGGCAGAGGGTGGAGAGAATCACAACTACTGTGGTGGAATTCTCCTGACACAGATGGAGTGATCACAGAATTCCATGATTCTCTGTTTAAATGCTTGTATTCTTCCACTGAAGCACTGTGTGACCTTTAATCCCCACAAATAAACTTCCAACATCTCAACACAGTTGGTTTACCACCAAAAATGAGATAAGTTGCTTATCCCTTTAAAAAAAAGTTTACAAGAGAATGCGTTACAAATGTCAAGATGTATCGTTGTTATCTTACTACTGCTACCACCCAGTTTTCAGTTCTAGGTTTAAAAGATCTGCTACAGTCTATTTAAAAAAAAAAAAAATCCTAAACAGTCTGCATTTAGATGTGTTTGGTGAAATATTTTTACATCCAGGCAAAACAGCTCATGGAAAAAATTTTATACCCACTACGTAACTCAGGATAGCACGTCATCCCAAAATATTATTTATCGCTGGCTTTTCATTACTCACAGGATGGTGTATCCTACTGGAACTGCCTTAAATTCTCACCTGAAGTTTTTTCATCAAATGATGTAATCTTTCTACTAACATACTATAAGCAAGGATGATTTTGACAAGGATGTATTTATCAGACCAATAACTTTAACAATTTACTGCATTATTAAAAGGATTATATTTCTGGGAAGAAAGAATGAGATCATCAAATAAATTTTAGCAGGATAACAGAATGACATATCCAGTGCCATTATCGAAAAGTATAATTTGTCTTCATGAAAATCTCATACAGTAGAACTGAAACAGTTAAATGAACTTACACTCAATCAAGACCCTACACAAATTTTCTATGTTTATGTTAGAATATTAGAAGACAATGCAAGCCTTCTACTTTAATAAAGTAACTGTGATTCTTTGTAATCATAGCAATGAAATATCAATCCAAACATTTTTTTCATAAAAGCTTCCTGACATGGCTTCTCTTTGATTCATTAAGTCCAGCTATAAAACAGTCATCATTAAGGAATGAAAGAAAATGAAAACAAGCATAATAATACATATTTGAAAAGGTATTTAAAAAATAAATGGCATTTATCAAAATCAAATTATCATGGCATTTATCAAAATAAAATTTGGAATAACCTTAGGAGAATAAAAATAGTGGGTTTGTTCAAAAGATAAAATCCAAAATTCATGTACAATTTGGTCCAAAAAAGAGAGTTGTTACAACCCATTTATGAAATGCAATCAAATATTACGCATGAGAAATTTAAGTTTGTTACAATTAAGTGTTAGACAATAATTCTAGGAGAAAACTTTACTACTCTAATTATAAAATTATAAAATTTTTATTGTTCCCATAACAGATACACAACAAAGCTGTATGTTAGAAGCTGATTATTACTGTGCTGAATAATAAAACTGCACACAACTTAAGTTTCCACTGTACTGTATAACATTTTACTTTCACCACACTTTATTCCTTTGCGAGTGGAATCCAAGTATGAAAGAATCAGGAATGCTGAAAGTGGCATCTGACAGAACAGACATAATCATAAGCAGGAATTCAGAGTTTTAAGCTTCCTTTTAACAATATTTAAATTATAAGTCACAGAGATTGTTAAATATACTCACAAGGGTCTATAACAGTCTTTGACTACTGAACAAACACCTTTGACCATTTTTAGTACTTACAATCTTTTTTTTTTTTTTTCTAAACTGTTTGACATCCAACAATTTGGAAAAAGTCTCAAATATACCAATAATAGTATTTCAAAGAGCCTGTGTAAGAATCTCCTGACCCAGCAATTTGTCACATATTTCCACATAACACTACCATTGGTTCAATTTAACTCAGTTCTCCATGAGGCGTGCATAACAATAAAATCCATCAAGGCACAAGAAAAGACAGAACGATTTTCTTTTAAGTATTACAATAAAACAGCTATGCTATTGCTTCTATGAAAACTCTCTTTTTTAACTGAAAAACTTTCTGCTGAGTATGCTAGTCACATGTGATAGCGTGAAAACAATCCGTTTGTAACATAAGTGGTGTTAAAACAATGCCTTGCTATCCACCAGCATTGTATAATTTTACAAGTGCTACTCACGATAGATGAGGTTCTGGGGTAGAGAATGAAGTACTTGGAAGCATAGCTCCACTTAAATTAGGGGGGGGGCGTTTAGGAGAAAGAGTAAATCGTGGTTCAAATCATCATCACACTAACGATTTCTAGCCCGGCCGTCACTTGGAGCAGAAG